GCTGGATTCTGGGAAGCAGCTGTCACCACTCTCCCAGCTTTTGAACATTTCTCTGGAGAGATTTTTTATCTTTCCAATTTTAATCCTCTCTTACGACTCCGGGATTTGTTTTTCCACCAATAGTCCGGAGGCCGTTTTTATTTCTAGCACTTGCTGGTAATGAAATCGGGATTATTTGCCCTAAATCCATGAATTCATCAGCCACACAGCAGCGGGATCAAGGCAGAAATATTACTGATCTCTGCTCCAGGGCGTGATTTTTATGGAAAGCAACAAGCAGATGGAAACAATAAGGTGGGAGCCACAATTCTTTAGGATCAAATCCCTTGTTAACCACTGAAATCTGGGATTAGGCACGTGAGGGGCAGCAGGGTTTAACTGGGATTCTCCTGGAGGGCAAATCAGGTGGGAAAAGTCCAACATTTATGATACAAAGTCCAAATTATCCCTCTTGGTGTGAGAATTCCTGTAAGCCAGGAGGTATCCAAGGGGAACATCAATTTATTTTTGGAATTCTAACATCTTTGCCTTCTGCCCTGGCTTTGCTCCACCTGCCTCCCATCCTTCCTCTGGTGCTGGATTTGGGATGTGCTGCTCCTCCTGGTGCCCATCCCTCAAATTCTCATCTTCCTGACCTGTTAAAAAGACGAATTCCCCAGATCCAGTGTTTTCCAGGCTCCCAAATTCCCTCAAATGGATCTCCTGAATGGACACCTCCATGCTCGAGCTGCTCCAGGGACATTCCAGACCCCTCCAGAGGTGACACCTCATTTCCAGAGGAATTCCCACTGTTCCCATCACATGAAACATTCCCAAGGAATTATTAGCCCTCAGATTCAGACTTTTTTTCCCCAGGAAAAGAAGTTGGATTTTGTCTTTTTACTTTTCCCTACATTGGGCTGGTGACAATCCAGCTGTGGCCTGATGTTTTCTGGGATGAAAAGCCGGAGCAGAACACACCTGGGATAACACATTTCCATAGGGAACACTGCACCATCCAGAAAACCCAATCCCACAGGAAATTTATAAGGAAAATTCCAATTTATAAGGAAAATTCACTGCTGGGAAATTTGATTTTCATGAATGAAAAATAAGTTTATCAGAGGAAGAAATAATGGCAAAAAAACTTGATGGGGAAAAGCTCCCTGCAGCTGCTTTCCAAAGGGTGATGCACTGAATCCCTGGATTCAGACATCCTGACACTCCTTGGAAGGAAAACAGAGCCCCACCCTCCCCACAGAACCACTTTAAAACACCAAATCACTGCAATTCTTAAATAATTTATGAGCTCTAATGGAAAAAAAATAAACCAACAAAAAAACCCAACCACAACCAACCAGCGAAATCTGCTGGAGGCGGAGCTGCTGGGAAAAGCCAGCCAAGGGAAGGCAGCTGCAGCTTCCCGATGGATCCCACTGGATCCCACTGGATGGGATCCCCCTGGATCCCATTGGATGGAATCCCACTGGGTCCCACTTCTTGGAATCCCCCTGAATCCCACTGGATGGATTCACAGTGGATCCCATTGGACGGAATCCTGCTGGATCCCACTGGATGGAATCCCCCTGGATAGAATCCCCCTGGATCCCACTGGATGGAATCCCCCTGGATAGAATCCTGCTGAATCCTACTAAATGGGATCCCACTGGATGGAATCCCCCTGGATAGAATCCTTCTGAATCCTACTGGATGGGATCCCCCGGGTCCCACTGGATGGAATCCCCCTGGTTCCCACTGGATGGGATCCCACTAGATTAAATCCTTCTGAATCCCATTGGATGGAATCCCGCTGGGTCCCACTGGATGGAATCCCCCTGGATCCCGCTGGATGGGGTCCCGCTGGGTCCCCCTGAATGGGATCCCACTGGATCCCACTGGATGGAATCCCATTGGATCCCACTGGATGGAATCCCCCTGGATCCCGCTGGATGGGGTCCCGCTGGGTCCCCCTGAATGGGATCCCACTGGATCCCACTGGATGGAATCCCATTGGATCCCACTGGACGGAATCCCATTGGATCCCACTGGATGGAATCCCGCTGGGTCCCACTGGATGGGATCCCATTGGATCCCACTGGATGGGGTCCTACTGGGTCCCACTGGATGGGATCCCGCTGGGTCCCACTGGATGGAATCCCATTGGATCCCACTGGACAGAATCCCCCTGGATGGGATCCCGCTGGCTCCCCCTGGACGGGATCCCGGCGGGATGGGATGCCGGGTTTGGGATACGCAGAGCGAGGTTCCCCTGGCGGGCTGGATCAGCAGCTCCAGCTCTCCTGAAGTGTGGGAGATGTGGCTCCAAGGCCGCTGTGCCCATGGAACCCCCAGCTCCCGGCGCCGAGAAACCACCCCGAGTATTCCCGGGAGCCCCAGAATTCCAAACGGATTGGAAATGAGACATCTCTTTCCAAGTCCTCTGCTTTTTGTCCTTTCCCAGCTGCTGTTGGTTCAGGATCCCGGGACAAGCTGCGAGATCCCTGCCCGAGAGATTCCGTGTGCGAGCCCTCTCCCTGCTGGCCGCTCCAGGAATTCCCGTGGAATTCTCTGCTTTCCACAAGAAATCCGGCTCTCGGTGACTGGGAAACACCTGAGAGCGATTTTATAGTGAGTTTACAGGAAATCAAACAGTTTTTCTAAGAGAAAAAAAGGTTTAATACATTAAAAACAAATCCCACTGGTTAAATACATTCCAGCTGACAGGTAAAATTCCATGGGAAAGGAATTCCAGGGCTCATTGTCCCAAATACCTTGTATTCCAGAATTCAATATTTCAGATTTGCATTGCAGAATTTATATTTCCAAACTTTTATTTCAGAATTTGTATTTCAGATTTTTTTTTATTTCAGGGTTTTTGTTTCAGACTTTGTATTCCTGAATTTGGATTTCAGAATTTGTGTCTCAGGGTTTTTATTTCAGAGTCTGCATTTCCAAATTTATACTCCAAAGTCCTCTATTTTAGAATTTTCAGCTCAGATTTTTTTATTTCAGAATTTCTATTTCAGAATCTGCAATTCAGAATTTGTATTCCAAAACTCTCGATTTCAGAATTTGTATTTCAATTTTCTTAATTTCAGAATTCTGTATTTTCTACAATTCCTGTCTGAAAATCCAGATTAAAAAACAGGAGTTTCCTCCAGGATCAGGAAAAAAGATTGAATAATTGGATGCTTTATCAAAATTTCTCTAAAATCACAAAAACAGTTTAAAAAATCAGAAAAAAAATTATATAAATTCACTTGATTTGGACTGATTTTAGGCATCTGTGCTGAAAAATAAAGAAATAAAAACACTCCAAGTACTAAAGTTACACCTCAGGCTGACAAAAGCAGCTGTGCCCCACCGGAGCTCTGCTCACCGCACACCAGGAGAGATTGAAATGAGATTTCAAGATTTAATTAAAAATCAATTTAAATTTTAATTTCACTGCTTTATTGTGGCAGAAAAATCTGATTAATTGAGGCCTTTTTGGGTGGATTTAGAGAATTCTTTAGGCTCGGGGGGTGTTTATTCCAAGAGTCCAAGGCCAGGCTGGAAGAACCTGGCACAGTGGGGTGTCCCTGCCCATGGAAGGGAGGGATTGCAGGAATTTCTCTCCTTTTTATCCCAACCATTCCATATTTCCATGAGCTGAGCCAAACCGCTCACGGCAGCCAAGGGATTTATAAAAGATCTATACATTAAAGTGTAAAATGAGGTGTTTGATCACCGCGGAGGCGTGTGGAAATCCAGAAATATTACGGGAAAATAAATCCCCATCCCTGAAAATCCCTCTGCTGAAGGACAACAACGAAACACGGGCTGGGGACAGGAAAATATTCCAAGGTGTGCAACTCCAGGAAGAGAAACACGGATAAATAAATACACCAAGGGAGCAGAGATCATTCCCTGGATCTCCCGAGTCATTCCCCTTTGGAATCCCCACTTCAATTCATTTATCCCACAGAATTTATCCAGCCCTCTCCCACTCTGCCGTGTGGGATAGACTCCATCCAGCTAAACTTGGTGTCAAGTGGCACAAGTTATAAATTATTGGGAATTCCTCCCCAACTTTCCCAGCCCTTCTCCCTTCTCTATTTTTCAGGTGGATTTTGGGTATTAAACCAAAATTATCAAATTTATCAAAAGCATCTCTCCCAGCGATTTGATTGACGGGCAGGAATTTCAGGCCATGCACAATTTTACCTTGATTTAATCAATTAACTCCTTCCTCCACACCAACACCTTGGCAGGAGGGCTTTGTGCGAGGAAAACAGCAGGATTTTAACATTTTCTGAAAGCCAGAGTTACATTTTAGACACCGCCAGCTGAAGTTACACTGAGCTTTAACATTGTTTGTTTGCAGTTCTCCTTTTCTGACTTTTTTCCCGAGGCCCTGGAAGGACAGGATTCAAGGAATGGGTTCCCTTGATCCCAGGGCAGGGATGGATGGGATATCGGGAATTCCTGGCTGTGAGGGAGGGGAGGCCCTGGAATGGAATTATTCCCACAGCAGCTGAGGCTGCCCCTGGATCCCCGGCAGCGCCACGGCCTCACGGCCGCCAGAGCTCCCGGAGCGCTCGGGAAGGACTCGCAGGCACAGGGGGGGACTGTCGGGCTGTGCAGGTGCAGGAGTGGGACGGGCTGATGGCGGTGGGCGCGCTCCCAGCGGGATATTCCCCGTTCCCAGCGGGATATTCCCGTTCCCACCGGGCTCACCCCGCCCGCCATGGCGGCCGCTCCCCCTCAGCGGCACCAACCACGGCGCGCGGCGCGGGGGGGTCCGAGCGCCTCCCCGGCCGCGCTCGGCCCGTACCACCCGCACCGCCGCGGGGGGGGNCACGAACGCGGAGCGTACCACGCAGCACGACTGAGGGGAGATCTACCGCCACCTCCCGAGCTGAGCCGAAACGGTAGAGCGGGAAGTCACCCCCTCCTTCCGGCGCTGTTGGTACCGCCCGGCTCATCGCGCACCGCCCCCGCTCCCACGTGAGCGGTCTCCCGGCGTGCCCCGCGCTCGGCCGCCGCAGCCGCCGCTTCGCTCCGCGCCCCGCGCTCCCGGGAGCCGCCTCAGCCAGTCCCGCGCCGCGGGGCCGGGCCGCCCGCCGCCGCCATGTCCGGCGGGGACTCCACGGCCGCGGCCGCCGCCGCCTCCCCGCAGCCGCTGCCGTTCTCGCTGCCGAAGCCGCCGCCCCTCATGCAGCTGACGCCGGGCGACGCCGTGCGGCCGGTGGGCTCGGGCGCCGACCAATCGCCGAAGAGCGCGCGGCTGGCGGCGCGCCCCGATTGGCCGGCGGGGAAGCCCGTCAGCCTGCTGGCGCCGCTGCTCCCGCCCCGCGGGGAGCCCGAGCCGCTGCTGCCCTTCGGGCCCGCGGCCCCGCGGCCGCCGCTGCGCGGGCGCCTCCTGGGCCGCTGCGGGGGCTCCCTGCTCAGCCCCGCCATGCGGCCCGGCGGCGTCGACCGCGGCTCTCTCATGGTGAGTGCGGGCTCGGGGCGGGGGCACGGAGTCACGGCGTGCGGACGCTGGTCCCGCCTCCCTGCTCCGGGGTCAGCCCAGGGTTGGGTGGGATGGGCATCCCATGGCGCGGGGCTGTGTCCGGGCGGTTCTGGGTGTCCCCGCTGGGGGAGACGCCGAGCCCGCTCGGTGCACCTGTCACCCGCGCAAGGAGGAAGTTGTTGCTCGTGTACAGGTGGGACTTCCTGGGCATCAGTCCCGGCATTCCTCTGGTGCCATTGCTGGGCCCTGCTTGGAGCCTTCCCTGCACCCAGGGACAGCCAGGCCTGAGCCCCTCTCACTGGGGCTCCTCTCCAGGCTGAGCAGCCCCGGCTCCCTCAGCCTTTCCTGGGCACGGAGCTGCTCCAGCCCCTTGCTCAGCTCCAGGAGCTCCTGGCCCTGCTGTGCTGAGGAGCCAGAGCTGACACAGCACTCGGAGGGGCAGGATCCCTGCCTGACCTGCTGGGAATGCCCTTCCCGTTGCCCCCAGGGCACAGGGGATCACAGACCTGGCTGTGTCCAGAGCTGAGAAGGATCTGGAGCCCCAGGAGTAGCTGAGGGAGCTGGAAAGGGGCTCAGCCTGGAGGAAAGCAGGCTTGGGAGGACCTTTTCAGCACCAGGGTGGTAGGTCTCTCTGAAAGTAAATCAACACTCCAGAAAGGGTCAGAGGAGACTTCTAGGAAACCCCGTTCCACCTGGAATTACCTGGGACTTGGGAAACAGAGGCTGTCACTGCATGTGTTGTGAGAGGATGTGACTGGGAAAAGTCAAGTTCTGCCCAGAAGATGGAAACCTTTTTAGTTGCTCATGGTTTCTTTGTGTGCTCCCAGCCCCAGGGAGACTTCTGGGATAAGAAAAAAACATTGGAAAACTCCTTTTGGACTGAAAGGTGTAGAGTTAGGGGAAATGAGGGGAGGATTCCTTCCCTGGGAGGGTGGGGATTCCTGGGATGCAGTTCCAGGCTGCCCCATCCCTGGAAGTGTCCAAGGCCGGGTTGGAGCACCTGAGATAGTGGAAGGTGTCCCAGAGGGTGAAACTGCAAGAACTTTAAGGTCCCTTCAACCCAAACCATTCTGGGATTCTGTGATGAATAATTTGATTTATTTTTTTCCTCCTGCTAAATGTATTTTCCAAAGGGAGATTCTGCCCGGGCTTTATCTTAAGGTACTCTCAGAGTTGCATCTGTCTGAAGCAGAAAGTTGCGAAAGAGTTGGATTAATTAAAAACTCTGGGAAAGGGCTTTTCCTTCTTCCCTTTGGTGTTGGTGTTTGGGGTGGCTGCCTCGGTGCTGACTGTCCCTGGCTGTTGGTGTTTTCCAGATGGGCCACCCGGGAATGCCCCACTACCCCCCCATGGGGATGCACCCCATGGGCCAGAGACCTCCCAACATGCCCCCGGTTCCCCACGGGATGATGCCTCAGATGATGCCCCCCATGGGAGGACCCCCGATGGGGCAGGTAAGGCAATTCCAGCAGCGTTTCATTCCCAGGGATCCCTGAGGTGGGGAGATCTCCTGGGAAAAGGAAAGGGGGTTTGATCCTGGCCAGGGTGAAACTCTTCTTATGGAGAGCTGGGAATTGATGCTCCTCTGTAGCTTTAATTAGAAATTGGTGTGATAACAGGTAATTGATGCACCTCTAACTTTAATTATCAGTCCATAATTTGGGATTTGTTCAAGTGGTTTGGAATAAGAACAGGTAATTAATGTATCCCTGACTTTAATAAATCCCAAGTGATGGATTCAAAGTTTTTTTGGAATGAGAACAGGTAATTAATGCACCTCTAACTTTAATTATCAGTCCATAATTTGGGATTTATTCAAGTGTTTTGGAATGAGAACAGGTAATTAATGTACCTCTAACTTTAATAAATCCTAAACTATGGATTTATAATTAAAGTTTTTTGGATGATAACAAGTAATTAATGCACCTCTTAACTTTCAGTCCATCATTTGGGATTTATTAAAGTTTTTGGAATGAGAGCACGTAATTAATGCACCTTTAATTATCAATCTATAATTATTATTTATTCAAGTTTTTTTGGAAGTTTCCTGTAGATTTTGAAGGGATAAGTTTGTCTTGGGACTTCAGGTTTCTGTAATTGTTGGCCAATTCCTCCACCCACACATGTGAACATTACAGCAAGGGAAGAAACAGAATTTTTGCAGAATTCCTGTTGGAATCCTGGGGGCTGGTTTGTAATCCCTGTATCCCATTGCTGCTGATGCCATGGGATTGGAAAAGCCCTGGCAGGTGACACAGCCACGACCGTGGCCCTGCTTTTGGCAGCTTTTCTTCTCAATTACCACATTTCCTGTGTGGTTTGTGATGAAATCCTCAGCTCTTAAAAGAAATCATTCTCCTTGCGGGTGTAATAAGTATCCCAGGAATGCTGAATGTCCTTGGGATGCTCCTTGTGATGGTGCATTATGGAAGAGAGGCAGGGAAGGATGAAACCCTTGGGAACAGCCCGTGGTGATAACTCCTCTTCCTTTGCAATTCCTTGGACACAGCATCCCTGTTTTTCCTTAAATTGGTGGGAGTTTTTTCAGTGGGGATTTGCAGCTTCTGGGGTAAAAATAAAGCAATTTTTAAAAAATGAGGAGGATTTGACTCATTAGCACCATATGTGTTCATTAGGAAGGGAAGTAGAAATTCTGGTTTGTTTCTCTGCTTTTTTGTACCTCCTTTTCCTCAATTCCCACTCTTAGCCAGGGAATATTTCAATATTTCATATTTTATGGAGCAACTCAGGACTTTTTGGTAGATGGAGAGCAAAAAGCTGAAGGTAAATGTCACACCTGGGAGTTCACCTTTGCTTTGTTCCTTTATTCCCTGTAGCCTTGGAATTCTGCAGGAATCATTCCCAACCTTTGCTTTTCCTGCTTCCACTCAGGATTTCAGTGATGGAATCAGGTCCCACATCATTTGCTGTTGTTCCTTTGGAGTTTAATGGTTTTTATTGATATTTCCTGTCCAGCTTTGGAATCTGGACATGCCATTCCTAATAGGAATATCCCAATTTAGTGGGAACGTGATGAAGGGAATCACAATCCCACAAATCTGTTTGATTTTTCCTTGCCTGAGAGGGAATGTTTGGGTTGTTTTGTTTTAAATTAAAAAGAAGTATCACATAATGGCTTTTAAATAAAAATAGTGTGTTTTGTGTTGAGGATATGATAAAATATGTGGGAAATGCTCTTGAATTCCAGATGCCTGGAATGATGCAGTCGGTGATGCCTGGAATGATGATGTCCCACATGTCCCAGGCTGCCATGCAGCCCACGGTTCCTGTGAGTGTAATTTCCTTTTTTTTCATTTTTAAAAGCTCTTTTTAGCAGTTGCTCTTGATCACTCTTTGCTTTCTTTAATTAGATGAGAAGAATTTAAATTTTAAATGTGTTTTTCCTTACAGTGGAGTTTTATGTGGTCTTGAATAATTACAAAAATAAGATTTTTGTGATTTTTATCAGTCTTTAAGTTCTTTTTAATTTCCCTTTAATTCACTTCCTGGAATTTGGAAGGAATCATTGTGACCTTGGATTGTTAAATTGTCTGACCAAGAGATTCTTCTCTATTAAATTGCAAATTTTTAAGGGTTTTAATTAATCATTAGGTGAGATATTAATCTCTTTAATTCAGTATTAAAGAGATTTTTTATTAGAAGTACCTGAAATTCAGTTGAGTATAAAAATTGCTGGAATAGCTCAAGGAATGAGGAATTCTTTGGGTGGAAACAGAGAGGGAAAAGTTAAAATATAGGTAAAATCTCTGAGGGGAAAAAATTCAAATCCTGTTCTTAAGAAATAAATTTAGTCCAGGCCTAAGAGATTCACTTGAAACCAGTTCCAGTCATTTCAATTTAGAAATAAATTATTTTAATGAGTTTTTTTCCCATGCAGATTTAAATCCCTAAATTCCTATGGAATTTCCTCTAATGCTGAGCACAAACCTTGGCTGTGCTGATTTGAAGCAGTGAAATTCCTAGAAATCAGTATTTTGGTCAGATTAGTACTCTTAAAACACATTTAAAAATTCCTAGAAATTGCTGTTTTGGTCAAATTAATGCTCTTAAAATACACAACAAATTCTTAGGAATTTCCTGGTTTATTCCTATCGGATAATAGAAAATCAGATTGATCCAATGTGATTTATTTTCACTTTTTGACCATTTTTTCTGTTTTCCTCAGGAATATTTGAAGTTTGTAGCTGAGAGCTGAAAATAAACCTTAAGCAAAGCTAAATCCACAAGGGAAAGGATGGGAAGACTTGGAATTTTGTTGATTTTTTTCCTTAATTTGAAGGAATTTCACGAAGAAAGAGCTCCATGCATGCTACTTTAATACACCCAAAGCCTTGTGCTCCATAATTATCCCACCTAATGATGTTCCTAATTGCTTATTTAAGGAGCAGCAATAATTAAGGGGGAAGCAGGAATCCTTATTTAAGGAATTGAGCCTTTTGTGGCAGAAAAGCCTTGTTTGGGTAATGAGTATTGGAATTATTTTTAGGATTTAATTCCTCAGGAATTAATTACTTACATTTAATTGTTTAAGTATTTAATTGTTTTAATTATTTTTACAGCCGGGAGTGAACAGCATGGATGCACAAGTAGGTGAGTAAAACAACTTGATATAATTTCAAAATATTTAACCAAAATCAGCTGAAAGATTTAAAAATTCCCCTTTTCCCTAAAATGGAATGGAACATTTCAGTCCTGGGGTCTCCACTGATGCCCAGGACATTTTTTTCCTTGCACACATGGAGGAATATTTAGGAAAACGAAGCAACCAGACCTTTCATTCATATTTAATTATTTATTTTTCAGGTGTGACCCCTCCAGGGACTCAGGTATGTGGAAAGCACAATTCCAGAAGGTTGGAACTCCAGTGTGGTGTGGGGCAAACTTGGTTTTAGGGATTTAGAGGAAAACCTTAATTCAATTTTTTCCTCCCCTCCTCTTTCCCCCTGCTTTTTTCCAAGTTTTTGGTTGTTCCTTGAAATCTGTGGGCCTTGTCCCTCCTTAATTATTAAATAGGTGATATTCACATTATTTCCATGGAATTTTCATCCTGTCTATTGGCCTGTCAGGAAATCCAGTTTTCCCTGGCCATATCCAATCCCTGATCCCTAGGAGCTGGATGCAGTCCTGATTCCAGGGAATTCATGGGAAAGCTGGCTGTGGAAAGCAGCAGGAAGTGTGGTGTGAGGGAGCTCAGGGAGCCAGAATCTTCCTGAAGCAAATTTTCCTCAAGATTTGGGAGCAGGGAGTGCTGCTGGAATTGTGCCTTGGGGTTGTTGTAGTGTAACCCCTTCACTTCCTGGTGGGAATCATACCCTTGGGAATGTGCAGTTGAACAGCTCCGCTCCCAAAGAAGGAGGTTTTTGGGAAAAATACTGACTTAAGGTGTGAATTTGGCTCCCTGCCTTTCCTGTGCTGCTGAACCACTTGGAAAATCCAGGGTATTTGGGTGAAAGCCACCAGTTAAAGTTAATGAGGATTTTCCAAGGCCTGTTCTGTCTCCTCCTCAGACAACGCATCCCGTGGTCTCCACAGTGCAGCAGAGCTCCACCACCACCAGCTCTGCCAGCGAGGAGCACTCCAAGCAGGTTTGTATCCCACTGGTTTTGTGCAGCTGGATCCCATTTTTTTTTCCATCGTTATTAATTTGGCTTGGGATCTTGCCAGAAATCCACGTGGACGGAGCACAAATCTCCAGATGGAAGAACTTACTACTACAACACCGAGACCAAGCAGTCCACGTGGGAGAAGCCAGATGACCTCAAAACCCCTGCTGAGGTAACCAAATCCCAAATTCATTCTGGGATACTGTGGGAACATGAGGATTTCCAAGCCTGACACCTGCAGCAGGGAGAATTCTGCTGGAAGAAGTGGGAGCAAACTCTTCTGATGAGAAATGTTCCTAAAATATTTGGATTGTTCTCCTTATGTTGGGAGAACCTGAGGGTGCAGAGTGGCCAAAATTCCGCCATTTTCCTCATTTTTAGTTAGGCTTTTTAAATTAAAAATCTGTCTTTTTTATTATTTGGAGAAGTAATAGAAATATAATTTAGAGAAGTGTTTAGAGAAGAAAAAATTCCTAAAAATTACCATTTTGGTCAAATCAGTGCTGTTAAAATATACAACAAATTCCTGAGAATTCCCCTGGTTTATTCCTGTTGGATAATAGCAAATCAAATTGATCCAATGTGATTTATTTTCACTTTTTAGCCAATTTTTCTGTTTTCCTAAGGAATATTTGGTGTTTGTCACTGAAAGCTGAAAATAAACCTTAAGCAAAGCTAAATCCACAAGGAAAATGATGGGAAAACTTGGAATTTCGTTGATTTTTTTTTCCTTAATTGGAAGGAATTTCAAGAGGGAAGAGCACCAGGAATTAATACACCCAAGACCTTGTGCCCCATAATTATCCCACCTAATGATGTTCCTAAATTGCTTATTTAAGGAGCAGCAATAATTAAGGGGGAAGCAGGAATCCTTATTTAAGGAGTTACTAAAGGAGATTTTCCTTGGAAAATCTTTGTTTTCTCTCCATCAGCAATTGTTGTCCAAGTGTCCCTGGAAGGAGTATAAATCAGATTCTGGGAAGCCTTATTATTACAATTCCCAAACAAAGGAATCCCGCTGGGCAAAACCCAAAGAGCTGGAGGATCTTGAAGGTAAAAGAGCTGGACTTGTATTTTTAGAAATATATATGAATTAATTACATTGTTTATTTAAATAGCAACAAAATCAGTTGGGGGGGAAAGAATAAGTGTAAAAAAATAATAGGCAGCAGTAATTTAAGTATTTCCATTCCTAAAATTCTGTTTAATAATTCTGCCTCTCTTGAGTCTTTGAATTATATTTTTTTACAAATTAAAAGAATTATTTTAAACCAAAAAGTAATTTTTATATTGTCCAATCTTTTGTAGTGGCATTTCTAAACTTTATTTTACTCTTGATTGATTTCAGTCTTTGAAGGGCACAAACATTAAAATTTTTGATAGTAACAAAAACATTTAAAACTTTCCTTCTATTAAATCAAGAATTCCCAGAACTCCATATGTATATGAACTATTTTAAAGCTATATTTTAATTGTTTTTCTCCTTTTTCTCCCTAGCAATGATTAAAGCTGAAGAAAACAGGTACATTCTTAATGTTACGCTGATCTTTTCCTGAGGGCCTTCAAACTTTTTCTGAGGGTCTTTCAGCCTTTCCTGGGGATCCTCAAACCTTTCCTGAGGAAGTTTAAACCTTTTTCCTGAGGGCCTTCAAACTTTCCCTAGGGCCCTACAAACCTTTTTTCCTGAGGGCCTTTCAGCCCTTTTTTTTACTGAGGCTCTTCAAACTCTTTTTCCTGATGGCCTTCAAACCTTTCCTAGGATTCTTCAAACCCTCTTTCCTGAGGGCCTTCAACCCTTTTTTTCTTCCTGAGGGCCTTCAAACCCTTTTTCTTCCTGAGGGCCTTCAGCCCTTTTTTCTTCATGAGGGCCTTTAACCCGTTTTTTTCCTGAGGGCCTTCAAACCCTTTTTCCTGAGGGCTTTCACCCTTTTTTCCCTGAGGGTCTTCAACCCCTCTTTCCTGAGGCTCTTCACCCCTTTTTTTCCTGAAGGTCTTCAAGCACTTTTTTCCCTGAGCGCCTCACAAACCCTTTTCCCTGAGGGCCTATAAACCTTTTCCGAGTTTAACTCACCCTCAACCCCTCCTTCCCCACATTTCCCACATCCCTAAGCTGCCCCTTTGTCCCAAATCTCGAGAGCGGTGCCTGCAGGTGACGGTTGTTGTTTTTGTCCCCAGCACGAAGCCGGAGGACGCGGCTGCCGCCGCCTCGGCTCCGGCCGCGGACGCTCCGAGCGGGGCCAGGGTCTTCCCACTTAAAGCAAGGTCTTCAAGGGAATGAATAATTTACCACAGGACAAGAGGGAATGGCTTTGAGATGATAGAAGGCAGGCTTAGATGAGGGATTGGGAATAAATCATTTCCTGGGAAGGTGATGAGGCCCTGGCACAGGTTTCACAGGGAAGCTGGCTGCCCCTGGATCCCTGGCAGTGCCCAAGGCCATGTTGGACATGGGGGCTGGGAGTGCCTGGGACAGGGGAAGGTGTCCCTGCCATGGAGCCGGGTGGGCTTTACTGCCCCTTCCCATCCAAGCCATTCCATGATTCCATGACAATTTATGAAGCCTCAAGGCTTTGCTGCAGTTTTTCATTTCTCAGCGGCATCAGTGACAGGAACATTCCATGGATTTTCCAGGATCTGTAAGAATTTGCCATTAAACACTTCCCTATTTATGCTCCTTTTCCATGGATGTGTGTCATGGGTTATCACTGGAAGAAAATAAAATACTAAAGGGATTTTTATCTGTTCTGGCCAGGATTCCGTTTTTAAAAGGGTTTTTTTTTTTTTTGGCCGGGGTTTCTTTTTTTTTTTTTTTTTTTTAAATAATTAAAAATCTGTTATGTGTAAAATTATAATTAAGATTTTTATCATTCAAAAAAAAAATGCTGTTGGGGATTTTAGGCAGCAGGACATAATTAAGGAGAAGAGGCCCATTTTTATGCACTTCATATTTTTTGTAAAATATTAATAGTCATGCTGAACTTCAACACCACATTTTTAGGAATAATTTTTAGATAGCTTTAGCAGGCAGCCAGCTGCAGGAGGGAAATATTTTGCCTCAGTAATTTATTTTTTTGATCTCTTTTTCATCAGTTGTGGTGCCTGTAAGGAAAACCCTTGTATGAATTATTAGAATTATTTTTTTACTTGGAGTTGCTATTTAGAAAACTCATTCTGTGATGGTTTTTGACTCTTTAAGTGCCTCTAACTTAGAAAAAAATGCTGAAATAATAAAACTCCTTTTGCTTTAGTGCTGCTGCAAAGAAGGAGGATGAGGATGCCCAACCAGTTAAAAAAACCTACACGTGGAACACAAAGGAAGAGGCCAAACAAGCATTTAAAGAACTGCTAAAAGAAAAGGTATTTGAGCCAATTATTAACATTTTATTGACCAATTATTAATGTTTTCTTGAACTACAAAACCTGGTTTGATTTCTGTTTTATTTGCCAGATTTTACTTGTTTTTTTTGGGGGAAGAATTCCTCACTCTTGAGGAAATGAAAGAAAAGAGCATGGCAGTGAAGTGTTGTTTTAGGTTCAAAATAAAATGTTCTTTTTTTTCTTCTCCCCATGGCTGTTTTTAAGGAATTATTCCTTGTTGGATGTTAATTCCAGGTCTGATTCATCCATAATTTCCTGTTTTCACAGCGGGTTCCATCCAATGCTTCCTGGGAGCAGGCCATGAAAATGATCATTAATGACCCCAGATACAGGTACTGAGTCCTCCTTCAATTCCACACAAACCTTTTCTTAGGGAATTTACTTCCAAAAAATCCCAACTTCTGTCAGCAACTCCTGCACTTGTGCCACTGGCAGGGAATTGTCTTCCTTCCCTCCATAAGGAGATGCTTCCAACAGCTTCATTTTTATTGGGAATAAGTGGAAGTTAGTAATTTATGCTGATTTAGGGATGAAAATGTTCAGACTAATTTTATCTCAAATCTAGATTATTCAAAATGTTTTCTTTTGCTTTCTGGTTTTGATTTTTCTTATTTATTTTTCTTATTTTCTTTTTCTTCTTTTTCTGATTGCTCTGGGTTTTTTTTTTTTCTTGCTTTCTTTTTTTTTTCCTGTTTTTTTTTCCCCTGTTTTTTTTGGTTTTTTTCCCTAGTTTTCTTGCTTTCCATTTTTTTTTTCTTCTGATTCCTTGATTTCCTTTTCTTTTTTCTTTTTTTTCTGATTTTCCTTTTCTGATTTTTGTCTTTTCCTGATTTTTTTGATTTATAAATAACATTGCTCTTTGCTTTTCTTTCCTGGGAAGTGCTTTGGCAAAACTGAGTGAAAAGAAGCAGGCCTTTAATGCCTACAAAGTTCAGACAGAGAAGGAGGAGAAGGAAGAAGCCAGATCCAAGTACAAGGAGGCCAAGGAATCCTTCCAGCGCTTCCTGGAAAACCATGAGAAGATGACATCCACCACCAGATACAAGTAAGACACTTGGAATAAAAATCCTGATGGGATGCACTGCTTGGAGTGGCATCAACTTCCATTTTTAGATTTTTTCTTTCCTTTATGAAAATTCAAAAGATGCCACCAAAAAAAAAAAAAAAAAACACTTCCCAAGAGGGAAAATCAAGGAGAATTCCTAGAAGTGTTCCTTCTTGGAGCAGAGCTCTCCCTGATGTTGTGGGGAATTGATGGATCATTCAGTCACCAATAAATCAATAAATAGTCGTGTGGTTTTCATTTGCTTTGCCCAGAAAAGCTGAACAGATGTTTGGGGAGATGGAAGTGTGGAATGCCATATCCGAGCGGGACCGGCTGGAGATTTATGAGGATGTTCTGTTCTTCCTGTCCAAGAAGGAGAAGGTAAGTTCCCTTCAAATCCATCCAACAACTTGTTCCTAAACCACTTCAAACCTGTGCTTGAGGCTCTACGGCAGATAAACAGCTTTTAGGGAAGGTTTTTGGGTTTATTGGGATTTATTCCTGCTGATTTCACCATGTGTTGAATTTTTTGGGGGATTTTAGTCAATCACATGATAGATTTTATTCTGGATCAGTGAAATAATAATAAGATGAAAAATTTATGTTGTTTTGTGTCCAAGGATGGGGCTTGGAGCAACCTAGTCTCTGTCCAGGGCAGGAGATTGGAATGGGATGAGCTTTAAGGACCCTTCCAACGCAAACCACTGCAGAATTCCCTGATTTTATATAAATTAAAGACTAATTTCATATTTCCTCAGAGAACACACTAGATATCTTACGTTTCTATCCAAACCACCTCAAATTGAGCCCAAAAAATAAACTTTTCCCCTCAGGAACAAGCCAAGCAGCTGCGGAAGAGGAACTGGGAAGCTCTGAAGAACATCCTGGATAACATGGCCAACGTCACCTACTGCACCACCTGGTCAGAGGCCCAGCAGTACCTCATGGACAACCCCACCTTTGCTGAGGATGAGGAGCTCCAGAGTATGTCTGTGGGCTCTGGAATTCTCTGGGGAGGAGGATTCTTGCAGACTTGGAAGGAATAACCTGATTTTTTCCCCCGTTCTCCCTGTGTTCTTGCTAGACATGGACAAGGAGGATGCCCTGATCTGTTTTGAGGAACATATCAGGGCCTTGGAGAAAGAGGAGGAGGAAGAGAAGCAGAAAAGTTTGCTGAGGGAAAGGAGGAGGCAGCGTAAAAACCGGGAATCTTTCCAGGTTGGTGGAATTTGGGGTTCTGTCCTAAAAATGTCATGGGATATCATAGGATATTCAACGTGGGGTTTTTTTATTTCTGAGGGTTGATTCAAGGGGGGTGTTCAAAGCCTGAGGTGTGGGGTTGTGGCATTTTCTCTGCTGTGTTACACTCAAGGGAAAAATCAGAGGGAACAGGCCTGGATGGGAAGGAGATGCAGCTGGAATGTTGTAGGTGGTGGAGAAGGGCAGGAAGAACAAGGGAAAAAGTGATTTTTCAATCCTGTTGGAACAAGAACGGAATTCCAGTTACAAGCCAATCCATCCCAGCTGGTACCAAGGAGAAGCTTGAGGAATGACTCCAAATTCCCATTTGCCTTGTTTTTGCAGCTGTTTCTGGATGAGCTGCACGAGCATGGACAGTTACACTCCATGTCCTCCTGGATGGAATTGTACCCAGCCATCAGCTCTGACATCAGATTCACCAGCATGCTCGGCCAGCCTGGTAAGGAGGGGAAATCCCAGGCTTTGGGGCAGGCCACAGCAGTTCTTCCTACTTTTTAACACCTAAAAATGCAGCTCTGGGCTTAAACCTGACCTGTGGCTTACCAAAACCTTCCCTCAGGATCAACGGCGCTTGACCTGTTCAAGTTTTATGTGGAGGATTTAAAAGCTCGTTACCACGACGAGAAGAAGATAATTAAAGACATCTTAAAGGTGAGCGTTACCTGGCTCCTCCTTGAATTGCACATTTCCCATCCGAGGGAGCTGGGATTTCCTTGGAATTGCAGGAATTCCTGATTTCCCTCGTGCCAAAGGAGCTGTTTTTTCCAGGATAAAGGATTTGTGGTGGAGGTGAACACTTCCTTTGAGGATTTTGTCACTGTCATCAGCTCTACTAAAAGAGCCACCACGTTGGATGCAGGGAATATCAAACTGGCTTTCAACAGTGTAAGTATGAATTAATAAATAATTAATTGGGATATCTGGATAATTAGGATGTGAAATCCCTTCTCCAGACAGGAATTAGGGTTTATTTTCTAACTAATTCCATAATATTTGAGGAATATTCTGTTATTTAGGGTTACTTAACTGATTTCAGTTGTCACAATAAAAATAAACCTTAGTCCAAGCAGTCAGCATTCCCAGACTTGAGGAATTCTGGGATAGGAATTCAGTGATGCTCTCCTGTTTGTCCATAAGATTTCTCCTGATTTGTGTGATTCTGTAGTTTTGCATCATTGGATTTTCACCAACAGCAATTCCGTGCTTGGAAAAGAAATAATTGATTGATTTTTGATAAAATAATTGAATATCATCGCTTTGATTTATTCATTAAATACAGGAAAAGCGGTTAATTTCCTTGTGTTTTCCAAGTGCCTCAGACACAGCTCTGAGGGTGAGCTGTGCAGAATTCCCAGTAAATGGAATTCTCTTCTTTGGATTCCCACAGCTGCTGGAGAAGGCGGAAGCGCGGGAGCGCGAGCGGGAGAAGGAGGAGGCCCGGAAGATGAAGAGGAAGGAATCAGCCTTCAAGAGCATGCTGAAACAAGCCACCCCTCCCATCGAGCTGGATGCTGTCTGGGAGGATGTAAGGAGGAGAATTCCTTGGGGAAAACATTCCCAGATTCCCAAGCAGGCCCCTGCTCATCCCTAAAAAAGGAGTGTTCACCAGGCTCTTCCTGCTTCTGCTGATGGGGCTGCAAAATCCCGTCAGACCCCGTGGATTCTTCAGGAGAACTCGGGGTTGGGTGGGAAAAGCTTCATCCTTCTGAAACAAAAACATCCTAAAAACACAAAACCCCCTCAAGAAATCCCAGAATCCCCCACAAAGTGAATTGAAATTATTGAGAACTTGCTCCTGGATAAAATACCCTGGAAAACCTTTGCTTTCCAAGGATAATTTATATAAAGATTTGGGGTTTTTTAACCCCCTTAATTCCCTTAAATGGAATGTGCAGGGAGAACAGTAGGATTCTCCATGTTTCCATGAGTTAGAGCTTCCCTGAACACTGGAAATTTGGGATTTGCTTGGAAATCTGGGATGAAAAATTCAGCCTTGCAGCAGTTCAGGGGCTTTTCAACTGGTGAAAATAATTTTTTTAATGATTTTTAAATTTTTTCTATTATTTTTATTATCTTTATTATTTATTTTTTATTATTATTATTTCTTCATATTTCTGTTATTATTAGTTTTTTTCCATTTTTTTCAGGGCTTTAGTTTTCTTATTATTTATTTTTATTTTATTTCTTATCTTTCTTATTACTTTTATTATACCTTACTATTTTTATTCTTCCTTTTTATCTTTATTCATTATTATTTATATTGGTTTTATTATTATTTCTTACTGGTTTTCTTATTTCTTATTGCCATTTTCATTACTGCATTATATTTTATTTTCTTCTATTTCTTCTATCCTAATATTTTAATACATTTATAATTTAATTTCTTTGAATATCATTAATGGAATTAATTTTCCTGACAGATCAGAGACAGATTTGTGAAGGAACCAGCATTTGAAGACATCACCCTGGAATCTGAAAGGAAAAGGATATTTAAGGATTTCCTTCATGTACTTGAGGTAATTGTTCCTTTATTTTTGAAATCATTGGACAACAAGAAAAATTCCTTCCACATTGAGTGGGAAGGGGAAGGATTTAATGGAATTTTTTCCATAAAGTGATACCAGGAGATTAATTTGATTTTTCAGCTCTCACCCTTGGGGGTTTTGTTGCATTTCTTGCAGTTTGGAAGAATTTGAACTGAAATTTTGACTTTTAATTCTGTAATTTCCAATTAGGCAGAGCAAGGGGTGGGTTTAGGCCAGGCTTAACCTGGATCCAGGGAGCAGATCCATGGGAACCCAGCTGTTGTTCCTTGCTCCTGGCTCCTTTATTGCAGCTCCAACGTGGCAGCAGTGCCCATTTTTAGATGTTTTGACATTAAAAGGTGATGGAGGAGTTTTTAACCTTTCCCAGCTTTTGTTGATGAGGAGAAAGATCCCATCAGATTTTTGGGATGACCTGTAAGAGCTGTGAGGTTGTTCTGCCATGAAATGGTGATTCTGGAGTTTTTATCCTTTCCCACCTTTCTTGGATAAGGAAAGCCATCCCATCAGGTGTTTGGGATGTCCTGAAGGAGCTGATGAGGTGGTTCTGCCATGAAATGGTGATTCTGGAGTTTTTATCCTTTCCCACCTTTCTTGGATAAGGAAAGCCATCCCATCAGGTGTTTGGGATGTCCTGAAGGAGCTGATGAGGTTTTACTGCCCCGTCCCTAGAACTGTCCAAGGCCAGGTTGGAGCACCCTGCCCCAGGGAAGTTGTCCTTACCCATGGTGGAACAAGCTGGGATTTCGGGGCCTTTCCAAGGCTAATCCCTGCTGGAATTCTGAGCTCTCTCCTCCTTGCCTTGCCCACAGCACGAGTGCCAACACCACCACTCCAAGACCAAGAAACATTCGAAGAAATCCAAAAAACACCACCGGAAGCGCTCGCGCTCCCGCTCCGTGAGTATCCCTGAAAACCCTCCCTCTGCCATTCCCAGCTGCGCTGATTGCTGCTGGAATTCCCGTTACTAACTGGAATTCTCCCCTGGGCTGTGTGTGAAGGGCTCAGAGTCCGAGGATGACGACAGCCACTCCAAGAAGAAGCGGCAGCGCTCGGAATCGCGGTCGGTGTCCGAGCGTTCGTCCAGCGCCGAGTCCGGTACGGGGTGGGATGGGATGGGATTGGCTTTAAGCCAGCTGTGCTGTTCTCCTTTGGGATTTTTCCATTGATTCCTGGGCGTTTTGTTTCTCCCTGTGGCTGCAGAGAGGAGTTACAAGAAGTCCAAAAAACACAAGAAGAAGAGCAAGAAGAGGAGGCACAAGTCTGTAAGTGAAGATCAGTTTTTAGTTGGGTTCTGGACAACCTGGCACCTGCTGTCAATAATCCCAACTGGATTTTCCTAGGGAAAAATGGGGATCAAGCTTGGGGAGGGTATTGCCAGAATAACAACTTTCTGTTACATATTCCTAATATTAAACCACTTAAAACTGCTGAATTTGGAGGGTTTAACTCCAGGTGAAGGACTCCATGAGTCCTGGGATTTGCTGTTTATCCTGGCAAATCCAGGTGTTCTTCATTGGGGGGTGCTGGGAAGGATCCCAGCCATTCCTTGTGCCTGCCTGAGCATCAGGGTTGTGTTGGAAGCTGAGTTGTACAAGAGCAGCAAAAGGATCCAAAATGCAGAAGGAGCTTCACTTCTCCCTGGGAGGGTGGGCAGGCCCTGGCACAGGGTGCCCAGAGGAGCTGTGGCTGCTCCATCCCTGGAAGTGTCCAAGGCCAGGGTGGACAACCTGGAGCAACCTGGGATAGGGGAATGTGTCCCTGCTCGTGGCAGGGATGGAATGGGATGAGATTCAAAGTCCCTTCCAAGTTAAATCATTCCATGATTCTACAATTCTTTAAATGGAAGTTGGACTTAAAAAATATTCAACATTAATATTCACTATTCCCTTTTTTTTTCCACAGGATTCACCAGAATCTGATGTGGAACGAGAGAAGGACAAGAAGGAAAGAGAGAGGGACAGTGAGAAGGAAAGAGCCAGACAGAGATCTGAGTCCAAGCATAAATCTCCCACTAAAAAACGGCCTGGAAAAGATTCCGTAAGCTCTGCTTCCTGTTTCTCCTGATGCTTTGGGAGCTGCTGGGTGCACTCCATAGGTGTGCTCCGGGAGAGGTCAGAGCTTGCATTTGAGGATCCTGGAGGTCTTTGCCATTCCCTAGTTTGGATTTTGGGGTTTCTGAGTGGCACAGAGCAGCCGGCTCTGGCTGAGGCTCCCAGTGTGGAACCTCCCTGGACAATCCCATCCTGACACTGTCCCGTCTCTCCACAGGGAAACTGGGATACCTCTGGCAGCGAGCTCAGCGAGGGCGAGCTGGAAAAACAGAGGAGGACTCTTTTGGAGCAGCTGGATGAAGATCAATGAGAAGATCCTTGATACCAAAAATGTTTACAGGTGGCAAAATAAAACCAAGCCTTGTGTGGGCAAGGCCCTGGGGCCAGAGGCCGGTGGCCCATGGCCACAACAACGGTGGCTTTTAGTTTTTTACCACTTCAATCCAGTCAAAAGTAGAAAAATCCATGGAATTCTGAGGGCAAAGCTGTGCCTGGCCTGGAGCTGCGGGGCGGGATGGGGGCTGGGATCCCCTGGAGGGGACACGGAGGTGGCAGCAGTGTCCCCAAGCACTTTCCCGATGTCCTTCCCAAGGCAGGGAACAACCCTGGGCTGCCTGGGCAGAGCCCAGTTCAGCTTCAGGAAAAAAACCTCCTAATTTAATTCTTTGTGCTTTCGTTCTTTGATGGATTTGGTTGGGTGGGATTTTTTTTTGGGGAATAAGCAGGAGAAGGAATCCGTGTCCTGATGTGTTGTGCAATCCCCTGGATTGTGGGGTTGTTTGGCACCGGGGCTTTTGTCCAAGACTGATTGGTGTCCCGACTCCCATCGATCCCAAAGCCCAGGGAATGTTGTGGATGGGAATTCTCCTGCTGTGCCAGCAGAGGGAGCGTTTGGGACACAACCACCTCGGCATTCCCCAAATCCCACCCCCGCCCAGCCCTGGCTGTTACTCCAGCGTTTCTCTCCCCCTTCCGAAAACTTAGGAATAAAAATCCAATGTTAAACACAATTCCATGTGTTGCCTTAAGAACCTGCTGCAGAATGTACCTGCACAGCCCAGAGGAGGGAGGAGGAAGCAGCTCCAGCCCTGTTTTCCAGCCCCTGCACGTTCAGGAAGGTGCCCCCAGCCCTGCTCGGTGAGAAAATTGGGAAGCCGCTGTCCTTGGAATATTTTTGTACATTTTTATCAATGATTAAACCTTGTCTTTTAGCATGTACTGGTATTTATTTCTCCTTGAATAGTCTGTACAGCTCTGAGCCACAGACTCACTCACAAACCTGCCTGAAGACTGTTTAGATTCCTTTTCAGGAATTTATTCCCGAATTCTGACCACTTTTACCAGTGCATAAACACCCAAAGGATCAATTTATCCAGGGAATTTTCTGGCTGGGGTGGTTACAAGGCTCAGAATCCTTAAGAGCACCCTGAGACTGAAATGAGTAATGTGAAATATAAAATGCAGGAGGTTGTAACCATTTTTCCCTGGGATGCTTTGGGATTTCCTGGGATGGTTTGGGATGGGAAAGCACATCCCAGGCCTGCTGTTTCCCCCTCAAGGGTCATTGCTCATCACCCATTGCCTGGGGGAAAACCACCTGGATTTGGTCACACAGGACTTGGGGGGATTTTTGGTATCCATGGGTGTTCGGTGTGGAAATCCAGGCTGGAATATTCCAGGTTTTTCCCTGCAGGCTCTCCCAGGAAGGATGGGATAACTGCTGCTCCAGGACTGAACAATCAGCCAGGTTTGCTTTGCTCACCTGCCACCCACCTCCCTGGATTTGTATCCCCAAATGGGAATGCTCCAAGTGGGAACAGCCCAGCAGAGTTTTGGGCAGCAGGTCCTGGGATCTGGCCCGGAGCTGGGAGGAGGATTTAGAGTCTGACAGGTCCTGAGGGTTTGTAAGCAGGGAGGAACTTCTTCCAATGCTCTTACTCCCTTGCATCCACACAAATTCAAGGAAAAAGTTGTTCCTAAGGGAATATCACTTCTAAAAGGTTTGCCTTGATTTTTCCATTAAAAATAAAAAAACTGGGAATGTCCATTATTCCAAAGGTGGGGTTTTCTTAACATCTTAATTCAATTTGCTGAAAGGAACTCAGCCTGAGCCTGCTTTTACACCAAGCAGGGCAGGATTGAGTGTTCCAGGGAATTGAGTTCAGGCTTATTTTTCCAGCTTTTTTTGGTGTTTTCCTATTTCCCAGCCCCATTTTTTCCTGTGGCAGCCCCAGCACAGCCAGGAGCTCAACCTCTGCATTCCTGCCTGGAAACTGGAAGGAATTTTAGCCCAATTGATTCTTTTTGATCAATTACTGGATTATTTTGGATGATTTTTAACGGTGTCCATCGATGTTGAAACCTTGACTGTGCTGGTTAATCCTAACCCCACCCTCAGAATAATTTTATGAAACCATTTTAAAAAATTAAATTTATTATTAAAATTCAAGTTATTTAGGCCTTTAATATGTGGATTGTTTTGAGTGCATTTCTGACAAATATTAATCCCCATTTATTTCTCTCCTGGAGCTGATCCAGGTGTCTCCCAGGAATATCCACACCCCAAATTCTTCCCTCAGCCTCTTCCAGAATAACAAAGATTTCTTCAAAAATTCTTTCAGTCTTCATCCACACAAGCTCCAGGTATTCACCTAGCAAATAGCAGAATTTTTGGGGGAAAAAAACCAGGTAAAAGTGACCCAAAAAACCCCTCTGGATTTCAGTGTAGTAGTGTAAATAGTTTATTTGATTTTATGGCAGGAACAGACCAGGAAAGGAACGTGAACTGCTTTAGAAACACTTCTAATCTTGCTAAGAAGCAGATCTATGACTAGAAAAATATTAAAGAGAACATGCCAGCTTGGCTTTCATTCTGGGCTTTTATTACAAAAATACCTTTGAGCTGAAGAAAATGAGATTTAGTGCTTATACCCCAACAAGTGCTGAAATTTGAAATTCAAATTATCCAATTTTCTTTGATCCAAACACTCGTTCCAACAGTGGCATGTTCTCTTTAGCAGGTCAAGTACACAGCACTGTAAATGCAAAACTTGGCAGTTTTTCAAGGAAAAATTCCTGGAAATTGGTCAATGTGGTAGCTCTGAGTCCAAAACTGTCCTTTTAGTTAAATATAAAAACAAAAACTATAAGTTAAAATAACATTCAGATTGTATAGCACAGGCTTGATGCATTTATTTCCTTTTAAACAATATTTACAATATTACCCAGAGGCTAAATTGGGGGGGGAAGTGTAAAAACCATAAAAAACTGCACCAATTTTGTAGCAAAATATCTGTACATTTAAAAACAGATTATCATATAACTACACATTATCCAAGGGGAAAAAAAAAACAAACAGGGACCTTCACCAGTGGTTCACAGGAGCACAATGGAAAAGGGCAAAGAAATTCAGTGGTTAAATACTATACAAGAAATTTTACAATGAACAGATGGATGAGCCCAGGCAGGGAAGCTGGAAGCAAAATGGGATTTGGGAAGGACAAACTTCTCCTCAGTCCAGCTCTTCCCAACTCCTGGCTGCTGCTGGCAGGGAATGGGATCCTTCCCACTGCTCCGGGGCACAGGGAGGGGCACCGTGGTCCTAAATCAGCCTCCTGTCCCTTTTTAGGCTTGGAAAATGCCATGGAGAACCTAAACCCGAGTGGGAGTTTTAGGCTGGGCTTGCCCTCCAAAGGAGCCTCAGCAGGGATCCGAGCGGGAACGTCTCGGAGCCGGAGCTGGGTTGGAATCCCCCTGCCAGGAACTGGACTGCACTGGTCCTCAGAGCCTAATACTGATTACTGGGTGTTAATTGCTTAGTGCTAATTAATAAATACGCTGTTATCCCAACGCTGGCTGCCGTGGCCGCCCAGCCAAAGCCCTGGAACATCCCAAACCCCCACGCCGGGCTGGGGGGACCTCGGGTTCCATTCCTAGTCCTGGGACTGTGGGCCCACGTTCCATTTGGGGCTGCACGGGCTGGGAAAAGGGCTGGGCTGTTCCTTGGGATTATTTTAATTCCAGGTACAGAAAGCCCTCAAATGTCTTTGTAGATTTAATTGAAAAAGAGCTGTTAAGTGCAGTTGAAGGCCGGGCCTGCCCCTCGGCCCAGCGTTAAAAGCCAAGCACATCCCAGCATTCCCAGTTTCCAACCAGTCAGGCCCACGGCAGCCCTTGCTCTCACCAACCCAACCCCCCCAAACCAACCCCTATTTTACATTTTGGTTACAAATCCTGCAGAGTCTCGGCGTCCGGAGAAACCCAACCGACCCCAATCCTATCGCTTGGATCCGTCGGAGCGGGAGCTTCCATTTCAGGCACTTGGCGCGGAGAGCCCGGCGCGGGGCCGGGAGCCCTCCGAAGGTCCGTGTTCCCCGGAGAGGGCGGGATGCGCGTGGAGCCCATCCCGCTCCCCGGCGGGCTCACATGGCCAGCTCGGCGCCGTTGGAGCGCAGCCCGTGCTCGTCGAAGCGGCGGCGCACGCTCCTCCTCAGCGCGTCGGCCCGGCGGTACGGCTGGTTCCGGAGATCTGCGGGGAGCCGGCAGTCAGCAGCGCCCGCGCGGACACACGGACGCGCCGCGCGGCAGGACAGACAGGGAAAGGCCCGCTGGAAGCCAGTCAAAGCAGCTTGTGGAGGACGGGAGCGGGGATCGGCCCCGGCGCAGCGCGGGGAAGGACGGACGTGCCCGAGCTACGCGCCCCAGCGGCCGGTTAATACTGGTGGGATCGGGATGCTGGTGGGAATGGCCCCTCACAGCTGTCACCAAGGCCACACGGAGCCCAGGGGTGTTCCCTGCGGTGTTCCCACACTCACGCCTGAGCTGCAGGATGTTCCTCACAGCAGGTGTGTGACCCTGGTTCAGCCACACCGGGATGGATTTAGCATCCCTACATCCCATTTAGCATGGATTCATGGAATCGTTCAGGTTGGCAAGGACCTCCAAGATCTAAAAGAGGTGCCCTGGGAAAAGCAGCTGGCACTGGGCTGGGATTCTCCAGCTGCTTTCCATGGCTGGAGTGATGCTTCATCAGCCAAAGGAGGGAGAGCTCGGGAGGGAACACTGAGCATGGGATGGGATAGATGGATGGATGGATGAAAGAGGGAGAAAGCTGAAGGATGGGATGGTGGAAGCCCATTACAGGTGTCACATGTGCTGTCACCTGTGCATCTACAAGAGAACAAGCACTAAAGATAATTCCAGTTCAAATACTGGTCTCCTGGCCAACAAATTTTGTCTTGGACTGGGCAAATCTCTCTGATTCCTGGATAACTTGTATTGGGAGTTACATAGAACTCCCAAACTTCTCAGCTCTCCCCTCTCCACACCTGGAGCTGGAGATTGTCCACCTCACGCAGAACCCAACTGTGGGGCTGCAATATCTGGGGTCAAAACTGTTTTGGGCTGGACTTGAAGAGAAATGGCCAAACCAGAGTGTGATGGCGGTCACCAACCAACAACACCTGGGGACAAGATTATTTTGGGCTCAACTTGAATTAAAATGGCCAAAATGAAGTGTGAAGATGGTCACCAACCAACAGCACTTGGGGACAAAACTGTTTTGGGCTCAGCTTGAGAAGAAGTGGCCAAAACAGTGTGATGATGGTCACCAGCCAACATCCTGTGGATCCCTGCACCTCCAGAGGTGAAAATCAAGGATCTGGGTCTCAGCTGGCCACGAGGTCTCACCAGTATTAGCTCAGCCACATCTACCACCAGCTGCCTGGCACAGAGAGAGAGGAGGAAGCCAAGTAAAAAGAGATGCTTGCCAGCTCTGGGAATCCTCCACCACGGCTGTGCTAGAAGAAATCCTTACCCTCGAGTGAACATTGGGAAATTTAGTGATATTATTCTTCTTTAGGGCTAAACAGAAAAAAACAACAAAGAAAAAAAAAAAAAAAACAGAACACAAAAAAATGATGGTTAAGTAAAAAAATGGGATGGAGAATGAAGAGCAAGTCAAGTCAGTGTTCAAACCTCCCGGGCAGAAACCACAGAGCAAGAGGGGTTAGACAGGGCAGGAGGGACAGGAGGCTGCTCCCTGCCCCAATTCCAAGCTGCTTTGAAGGTTGGCTCCAGGAAGAGAACACAGACAGAACCCGGAAGAGCAAAGAACCATGGAGTGGGTTAGTTTGTGGATTTATTGGCAGCACTGATGGAATTACACAGGGAACGGTGGAAGGAACACTGCTGGCTTCTTAAGCTGAGTCCTTAA